TCTGTCTGGCTTCCTGTCTTTTAATCCCCTTTCTCCTGCTCTTCTGGCCTGCTTCTTTGGGCGTCCCTGAGTTTCCCCTCCTCACCTAATCCCTTCGGCTGATTGCTCTTCTCTTTGGCTCCCTGTTTACATTAATAGATAAATGTAAGCACAGTAGTTTATCTCAATTATTATTTCAGAATGGATTATACTTAACAGGAAGAAGAACTATTTTAGTAATACCGCAAAGATATGTATATCAGAGAAGAGAAGACATTTATATTTTCAAGTGACTGTCAGTTTTTTACTAATAATTTTTTTGTTTGTTTGTTTCTTAATGGAGCTGTCAGGTGAACAACAAGCTATTTACCTCTTGGCATCTCACTGAGTCGATTTGTTGTCACTACTACATCTAAACCTCAGTTTTATTAATGTCCTATGTGTCATAAAACCTATTGGGTTTCCTAAAGCAATATTTTAGGCTTGTAGGCATCCCAGAGTGATTTACAGACATCATAGAGTCTGCTTAAAAGAAAAAAAAAAAGATCATTTGGTTGGAGGCAACATTTTGACTTTCAAGTTGTTACCTATTTTGATTATACTCAATTTTCCATGAACTATCCAGAGTAATTTCTTTTAATGTTTTCTTTTTTTTCAACTTTCTTGGTTTCTTTGTTAAATTCTTCCTATTAAATGCAATTGTATGTTCTTTCTTCTTTCTTAAGTTTGATGGAGTTCTATCATAATGTTAACAAATACTCATAAATTTACTTCTCAGTTATATATGGTTTTATATTTTTCTTTTTCTTATTTGCTTACTTTATTATTCTTTAAAACTTTTTAATTGAACTCCTTAGTAAATTTATCTGGGTTCTTTCTTCATTATTAATAAAAGTATTTAAGACTTTGTACTAACCTTGAGATACAGTATCTTAGGCTGGGTCCTCTAGAGATTAAAAACCAGTGAAACTTATATATGTATATATAGAAAGAGATTTTATCTCAAGAAGTACCTCATCCAATTGTAGAGGCTGGTGAATCCCAAGTCTGTGGTCACATGTCAGACTGGAGGCTTCTCGTGACTCACATAGCTGCAGAGGCTGATGAACCCAAGATTGGTAGGTCAGATGGCAAGCTGCTGGCTCACAGAATGTGAAAGCTTACAAATCCCAAGATCGGTAGGCTGTATGGCAGGCGTCTGGCTCAAGTCCAAGTAATCAGAGGTCAGATGATGACAAGCCAAATGCTGTATCCAGATCAAGCAAAAAGCAGAGACCTTTGTCTGAATGTCCATATATATTGCTTCCAGGCCATACCCCTGAAGCAACTCTCTTTCAACTGACTGGCTGCTCACAGCAGATCTCATTTTGGAGGTGATTACGTTAAATCAGATCTCCTCATGGGGAATGACTACACTGTAATTCCCAAACCACTGGGAATCATGGCCCAGCCAAGTTGATACTACAACCTTAAACATAACATTATAGCTTTGGACATATACCATAAGTTGTAATACATGGCATTTTCATATGTCATTGCCAAAAAAAGAGACTGCTTTCATATCTTGATTTCCATTTTGATTCACAATAATTTAGAAGTGTGTGCATACACACATGTACATGTGGGTGGGTGTGTATATCGTTAGTAAGTGTATCATGAGCATTTGGAGTTGCTCCAATTTTCTAAAATTAGTTTCTAGTTTTATTTTATTGTCATAAGAGAATATAGCTCACATAGATTAAAGTGAAGACTTAGAGGTTTTTTTAGTCTATTTGGAAAAAAAATGATGCTAGGAAGTAGAAGACCTTGAAACTATAGTTGGAAGTTTTGTTTCTATCCAAATGAAAAGTGCATTCAGTACTGAACTGTATTCTTTTTTAAATGACCAGCTTTCTAGAGTTGAGGGGAAAAGATAGAATTGGCAAATCTAAATAATGATTTTCGCACACATATATGTTTTTGTTATTGTTGTTAGTTGTTGTCAAGTAGATTCTGATGCATCATGACCCTGTGTGTTTAGAGTAGAACTACTCCAGAGAGTTTTCAAGGCTTTCAGAAGCGGATCACTAGGCTCATCTTCCAAGGCACTTCTGGGTGGGTTTGAACCACTAAATTTTCAGCTAGTAGTCAAGCACTTAACCATTTGTGCTACCCTGGGACTCCACATTTTATTATGTTTGCCAGCAGTGATCACTAAATTATATATACCCACCCTTATTTTTCAACATGGTTAGGTTCCAAAGACCAGGTCATTATGTGAAAATTGAATTATGTGAAAATGGAGGATGACCACATTAAATCACAAAATGGAGGATCACTGTAGAGTTATGTAATTGCCAAATTAATTATTACATAACTGCCAGTCCACTGAGAATCATGGCCCAGCCAAGTTGACACATTACCTTAACCGTCACAGCCAGCGTTACACTAGCCTTGAACTTCGATGTTCATTACTGCCAGATGTATATCTTTAATGAACAAAATAGTGGGATTTTGGATTTTTTCTATTATCATAAATGCAGAATGCCAGATAACAAAACAGTTGGTAAATGAAGAGTAGGTGTAATAAGAGTCTGCAAAGATGCAGTTCTTCCAGAGCCCCTAAGACATGGTGCTCTGGTGGCATAGTGCCTAATGCATTTGACTGCTAACCAGAAGGCTAGTGGTTCAAACCCACCAGCCATTCCTCAGAAGGAAGAGTGGGCAATCTACCTCTGTAGAGATACTGCCTCGGAAACCCAAGTTGGGGTGGCTATGAGTTGGGGCAGTGAGTTTTGCGTGAGCTCTAGTTGAACCTCTGAATCCCTCTCAACATAGTTTTCTAGGCAGCTGCCATGAATTGACTGGGGTTGTCATGCAAAATAGAACCTGTTGCCATCCCAGTAATAGAGCCTTGAAAGTTAAAAAGGATTTAGGATAAACCTTTTAAAAACCCTGACTCCATGAATTGCCCTTATAAAGCATATTCAAAAGTAAATGAAATATTCAAGTGATTTCTTCAATAAGCGTAGACATGTAGATCTCTTTCCAAGCCAGTTTTCCCAAAAAAACAAAGTGTATCATTTCTTGAGAGTTACTTTATACTTGCTGATAAGTAAAACAACCAAGTGACAAGCTGTGCTTTAAAGGATAGACTTTGGAAACCAACAAACCCAAGTGAGAGCCTTGGCTGCCTGGCTTGCTAACTGGGATGGGAGTATGTCCCTGACTCTGAGCCTCAGATCCGTCATCTGAAGAGTAACAGTGAAAATAGTGCCTTGGGATGGTGTTGTCACGTGGCCCAGTGAGCACTTGATAAAGGGTCTGGCACCCAGTTATCCAACAAATGATGTGATACTACATTTTTATTATCTAATAAGGAGCTGTGTTGGTGTAGTGGGTAAGGCATTTGGGTGCTAAACCAGAAGTTCAAACCACCAGGTGTTCTGTGGCAGGCAAATGAGGTAATGTATTTCTATAAAGATTTGTAGTCTTGGAAACCCAAGGGGGGTCGCTATGAGTTGAGATCAACTTGATGGCAATGGATTTGGTTTTTCTTAATAATAGTATATTATGCATTAATAACAGTAATGGAGAAACAGTCTATCTTATATTTATATAAATATATAAACTCAGAAGGAGGATGGAGCAATCTACTTCCGTAGTGATACTGCCTCAGAAACCCAAGGAGGGGTCGCTGTGAGTCGGGTCCGACTCAACGGCACATAACAACAACAACAACATACACATATAATACAGAGGCATAAATTTTTTCTAAGTGACATTTATCATTCAACTCATTTTGGATACTCTATATTAATAATGAAAAATAGCAACCAACATTTTACTCAGCTAAGAGGCTGAAAGGTAACTTAGAAAAAGGTAATATATCCCAGTTGTTTTCCAATACATTGAGGTCCATTTGATTGACAAGAATACCTTTATGTTGTATTTCTCACAACTCTACTTTTATTCCCACTACATCATCATCTTTGAATAAAACTTACGTTAATTAAATGAAAGTAAACTGGGCTTTAGAGCAGCAATCCCCTGTAGGAATTTCAAATAGGGAATTTAAATGCTTCTCTTTTTTTAACTTCCATTGTCTAACTCCAAAGGAGAACAAACAATGCTGTTACATTCCTGAGCGCTGTCTTCTCTAATGAGCAGTGTTTTTGTAGATGGTGAAGGTTTTTGTATAGTCCAGGGAAACTTACACTGTGCCCCAGAATCTGTTTTCTTCACCACATCACTCATAGGGAGCAGGTTGAGGTAAACAGACAACTCACCAAGACTCTAACTGAAATCAGCATGGCGGCAGCGGTGGCAGCACAGGATGAGCAGGCCACTAGAAGACACCTGCTATATGCAGTAGACCATCTGTTTGGTGGTAGCATTCCCAGGTATCTGACATTAAGAGAATGGGAATGGTTCTTTATCTCTCAGAGATACCGCTCCCATTTTTTGTCAACCTATAAGTGATGATCTATACATTGAAAAAGACATCCAATTCCAGGTAAAAATAGTGGTAAGATAAGCCTTTAATATCATCCCAGCAATGCATTTTAAGTTAAAAATATAATATATAAGCTATTTTTCTTTCTTAGGGGGTGTACGAGTTTCCCTTTGTTGCTGTCCAAATTACCACAAACTAATGGCATGTATTAGTGTGATGCTGGAAGCTATGCTACCGGTATTTCAAATACTAGCAGGGTCATCCATCATGGACAGGTTTCAGCAGAGGTTCCAGACTAGGACAGACTAAGAAGAAAGACATGGCAATATGCATCCAAAACTTAGCCAATGAAAACCCTATGGATTACAACAGAATATTTTCTGATACAGTGCTGAAACACGAGCCCCCTAGGTTAGAAGACACTCAAAATACATAGTGGCTACAGCAATAGACTCAAGCATACTAATGGCTGTGAAGATGGTACGGGACTGAGCAATGTTTTGTTCTGTCATACATGGGCTCCCTATAAGTTAGAGTGTCATTGACAGCAATTAACAACAAGTGACTTAAAACAATACAAACTTATTCTCTTACAGTTCTGGGGGTCAGAAGTGTGGAATGAGTCTTACTGGGCTGAAATCAAGGTGCTAATAGGGCTCTGCTCTTTCTGGAAGCTCTAGGAGAAAATCCATTTTCTTTCCTTTTCCAGCTTTTAAAGGCTGTGTGCATTCCTTGGCTTGTGGCCTCTTCTCCTATCTTCAAAGCCAACCATGACCAATCAAGTCTTTCTCACTAAGGTCACTCTGACATTGACTCTCCTGCCTCTCTTTTCCACTTTTAAGGACCTTTGTAATTACATTGTACCCACCCAGATAATCTAGGATAATGTCTTGATCTCAAGAGATTCCATCTGTGACCTTAATTTCTTTCTTTCTTTTTTTTTTTGAAGGAAGATGGCTTTACTCTGCCTACCACCATTCCACTGCCATTGAGTTGATTCTGACTTATAGGACAGGGTAGAACTGCCCCCATAGGGTTACCAAGGCTGCAAATCTTTATGGAAGCAAACTGCCTCATCTTTCTCCCATTGAGCAGCTGGTGGGCTCAAACTGCCAATCTTTTTTTGTTTGCAACTCAGTGCTTTAACCACTGTGCCACCAGAGCCCCTATGCCTACCACCAATGAAAAAAATAAAGCATTCTACATGTGCCCTGTAGATGATACCTCCTTAGTCACATAGTCCAGTACCAACTGGGAAATTCTCTTGCTCTGGTCCTTGCTCTGCCAGCCGCTACCTATTTGAGCAACACACTTTGTCTTCTTATGTTTACTCATCCTTCTCATTGCTAAAGTGAAGATGACAAAATAGATCACATGTGGTTAAAACTGGATGAGTTAAAGCCTTATAGTGATTTGTTTCTAACGATACTTTTACTGTTTATTATCTAGGAAGAAAAAATGAAAATGCTTGTAAAGGAGCTCCTAAAACCTGTACTTTACTAGAAAAATTCCCTGAGACCACGGGATGCAGAAGAGGACAGGTACTAATGGTATTTTCAGTACTGGAATAATTTATTGGGAATAAGGGAATGCTGACATTCGTGAAGAAATGATTATTTCTCTTGGCCCAATGAATGCCTCCTTTTTTCACTTCCTTTTTAAAGGAACAAAATTTCATGGGTTGACATCAGAGTGGAGGGTGGAAAATGTTCAATGTTTATTGCTTGGTGGAAAATGTGAGTGCTTATTTTTAGTTCCTTCACAAAGAAATAAGATGAGAATAAGTCTGAGTCTCACAAAGGCTTTAATTCAAATTGACAGTAATTTTGTGCTGTCATTTTAATTTAGCAATTCCCCCACACTTGATAAATGGCTGAATGTTGGAGTGTTGTATTTTTTGCACAGATCAAATATTCTGTCATGCACCCGGGGACGCACGTGTGGCCGCACACGGGGCCCACAAATTGCAGGCTCCGAATGCACCTGGGTTTGGTGATCCCCAAGGAAGGCTGCAAGATCAGATGCGCCAACGAGACCAAGTATGTTTCTTCCAATCCATGCTCATCCACCACCTCTCAGGATGGGTGTTCAGAGACTCCAAAGCTAGTTATTTATTCATCTTCAATTATAACTAAAATAGATTTCAGGGAGGGGGTTTAATCTGAATTCTTTAGTCCAAATTCCTTCACAGCACTTTTTTCTAGAAAGACTGCCCAACTCTAGAATCGCCCTTCTTCTTAACTGGTCCCCAGCATGAACTCATCTGGCTGTCCAGCTTCCTTGCTTCTCTCTCCAGGGTGACAGATTTACATTCAGAGTCAGCTAACACACTTTGAGTACTTACACATATTGGGCACTCCACTGTTTGCTTTACAACTTGAATTATTTTTAAATACAAGAACATCCCCTTCCTGAAGATAACCCTGGTGAGATTTGTGTGTTTTGCTCTCGAGGAGACAGTATGGTAAAATGGAAGTCAACTAATTTTTTCAAATCCCAGTACTGCCACCTCATTAACTTTACTTTAATCCCTTTGAGCCTCAAGCCCTCAGACTACTTACTTATAAAATAGACAATGAGAATGTCTACTTTGCAGGGTTATTATATGGATGAAGTAAAATATGTGTACAAGGCACTGAGGCCAGGTCATAATATCAGTAAGAATGTGGTAGATGTTAGGGCACCTCTTCCTTTCTCTGCCTCTTCGTTCTCCAATCACCATGAGTTTATTCATGATCCTATGAACAAACCACATTTGCTGTGGTTTCTGTGCCTGTCATTTGGCTACTCCCTTTACATAGAATGTCTTTCTTTTTACTTATCCAAAGCAAACATATTACTGTAGGTCTGACATAGTTCTGTAAGAATGGATCTTGTTTTCTGATTTCTTAGAATGTGTATTCTCAGTAAGCCTCGCCTCTATCTTCTTCTGCTCTTTATTACTTAATATATATGAACCAAATCTCCACAACTGACTTTCTTGAGCAGAAATCAAGGTGTTGTCTTATTCATTTCTCATTGCCCTTGAGGGAGATCTGAGTAGAAGATGAGTGTCTAGAAGTCTCCAGGGTCATTCATTTGGTAACTGCAAGGTTACCACATATAGTATAGCTGCACAAGGTGCTATGGGAAATTCAAAGAGGAATCACATGGGGGCCTTTCTCTGCAAGATGTGTCCATTTGGAAGATCATTGTTGTTAGTTGCTATGAAGTTAGTTCTGACTCATGGTATCACCATGTGTGCAGACTAGAACTGCTCCATAGGATTTTCAAGGTTGTAACCTTTCAGAAGCAGATCTCCAGCCCTTTCTTTCAAGGTGCCTCTGGGTGAGTTCAAACCACCAACCTTCAGCTAATAGTTGAGCGCTTAACCATTTGTGCCACTCAAGGACTATAACAATTCCAATACAAGATCAGATATTATGCGAGTCCTAAGAGAGGCAAAGATCAAATGCTACAGATGGATCAGCAGACCAAGAGCTCACCTACAGCTGAGGTTTAGAATCCTGTTTGTGGTTATTTTAAAAGATGGGTAAACATGGACATCAGAAGCTGTGAGAAAAGGGCATTCCAGGCTGAAATAACAACATGTACAAAGACACAAGGCCAACAGTTACAGGCCACATATGATGAATATTGAGTGGTTTCAGCTTCCAGGAGTGTCGGGTACATAAAGAATAAGGTAGGAAAGTGAAAGAGTGGATTAGACACTAAGTCATAGAAAACTTTAAATACCAGACTGAAGGGATCAGATCCTTGTTGGGAAATTACTCTGGCAGTTGTGGGTGGAATCTAATGAGGGAACATACAAAGGAGAGTAACAGGCCGTTACAGTGGCCCATCCCAGTGGGTGCTAAGATGCTACAAAGAAAGGGAGAAGAGAGATTAATGCAGGGTATATCATGAAGATTGACTCAAGTGAATTTGGTGGGGGGCAAGGAAGGGGAAATCCAAGATGACCCTGCAATTACAATCTTTGGTCAGTAGGAGGATGGTAATGCTCTTACAAATATCAGAAACATCAGAGGAATGAGGCAAGTTCAGGTGAAAGGATAATGAGTTCAATTGTTTGCACATTTAAGGTGCCATTGAAATACAGCTGTGGGAATGTCCAGGAGGCAGCTGGAAATAAAAGCCTGTAGCTCAGGAAAGAAAATCTATGATAAAGATTTGAGAGTTAAGTTTAGGAAAAGGTTCTAGAAGAAGATAGAGATAGTTGAAAGATGAAAGGAAGGGAAAAAGTCCTCAGATACACGTACATGTAGGAGACAGAAAGAAGAGGAAGAATCAAGGATATGGGGAGGAGAGGCCAGCATTGGCAAGACTAGGAGGCAGAATTAGAGATGACTGGACAGGTAGAAGTTTCTTCTGAGGTAGAATGAATATTGCTAAGTCTTTGTGAACTCACTTGACAACTAATTAGAAAACATTGTTCTTTCTTTGGGTCTGCGGGATCTCTGCTAAGGGGAAGAGGGGCAGGGATATGAAAGGAGGTGGCAGAGAATATAGAGAGGAGGTGGGGGAAGGATGGAGGAAGCTCAGATTTTCAAGGCCAACATCTTAGAGATCATGTACAAATGATGAAGCCATGAAGATGAATAAGAGCATCAGGCCTAAGTAGTTCCCTAAGTACTACCTTAAGATTTTAAAACTTTCCTTCTTCCTTCCTCCCTTCCTCCCTCTCACCCTTCTTTCCCTCCTTCCTCTCTCTCTTCTTTTCTCCCATTTTCCTTTTTTCCTCCCCACTTCTCTCCTCCTCCCTTGTTTCCTCCTTTGCTTCCTCCCTTCCTCCCTCTTCCCTCTCTTCCTCTTTTTTTCCCTCCCTCCTTCCTTCCCTCCCTTCCTTGCCTTCTTCTTCCTTCATTCCTCTTTTCCCTTCCTTCTTTTCCCTTCTTCCCTCCATCTTCTCCTTCCCTGTTTCCTTCTTTTCCTTGCTTGTTTCCTCCTTCTTTCCTATCTGTTTTAAAACTTGTAGATCCATGGAGCAAAATCACTAGGTAAAAATCCATTTAGGAGTAGGATGGGAGAGAGAATGATAAGCAACTGATCTTATTCATCAGTGGCCTGAGATAAGAATAAAAGATGCAGTTTGGGAGAATGAGGAACAGGTGGCAAGTGCCTGAGACTTGAGGAAATTGTGGAGGGCTCACAGATGCATTCTCTACCAGCAGATTGCCAGCAAGTACCTGAGTAGTGATGGTTGGCTGGTGGAAGTGACTGCTACCTTATCCCCTCAAGTTTAAACTTGATTAGATTAACTGTCTTCACCTACCACAGAAAATGAATGGTTTTAAACCCCAATCCTGCAACTCACTTTTTATGCTACAATGCAGCCTACTTCACATGATAGTAAGAAGCCTCTGGTAACAATAATTTATAAGCCTTGTAGTCACAATTCACAGTCATTATTAAGAAATACTTACTACACACTTACATGTTGTTGGGCCAGTGAGGTCATTGTATAGGGAAAGAAATACTTCATGGCCTGCCATCTCTGAAGAACCAGTGGGCACTAGTGTCATCCTTGCCTGTCACTTATCCTTTTCTAGGTCTCTGCATAGAGGGACCATAGTTGCTTTATGTCGTACTACATTCTCATCCTTAATAAGGGTGGTTGGGTCATGCTTACTTCTTTAGTATAAAAATAGGCCTATTCATAAGAAAAATGGGCCAATTAAAGGACTGTGTGACATCTTTAGAATGAAAAGAGCTAGATATCTCAGTAGGAGACAGTCAGTTTATAAATATCTGAGGAAAGAGTGTAGAATAAAACCTGGAAGTTTCATCCAGTTATTATAGCAGCATGGTTGTGTGGAAAGAGAAATATATACCAAGAAATCAGGTGCCCTTATGCTGTGCAACAGGAAGCAATCTTTCAGAGCTTCTCTATTTCCAAAAGAGTAGCTTACAAACAGAAGACAGTTTGGAAGTTGTGACAGTTCATGCATTGTCCTTCTCACATATTAATCAAATTGCTCTTTCTTGACAACTATGAGGTTTCTGCAGTTGTACATGTGGATTGACTATTCTATCATGGCAAAACATATCACAGCTCTTTTATCTGAAAAGATAATGAGCTTTCAGTTTCACAGCATTTTATCACTATAAATAAAATATTTAAGATTAGTAAATCCTTTCTGATTACAAAACCAATATAAGTTTCTTATACGTAATTTGCAAACCACAGAGAAGCATAATAAGAACCAAAAAAAAAAAAAAAAGGAGATAATTATCTTTGATGCCAGTGCCCACAGATGTTGCCCACTTCCCAATGCCAATATATTCATATTCATGATGATGGTGATGATAACGCTGATGACAATAATATAATATTATGTTGTTGACTAGGTGCCATGCACTGATTTAAGTGCTCTACATATATTAGCTCATTAATCCTCACAACAATCCTATAAATGGGACTATTAAAATCTCAATTTGTCAGCAGAAGGGACTGAGGTATAAAGTTACTGAGTAAGTTGCCCAGGGTCACTCAGCTTAGTAATTGAATATTGGAATTGATATTGGAACTGGTATTTGATCCTTGACAAATTGACTTGATGTTCTTTGTTCCTAGCTGTAATCCCATAACTTCACTTTATCGGTTTTGGGCCTTTTGGGGTTGTTATTGTTGTTTATAAAATTAGGATCATGCCGTATTTATAAAGTGATCACTTTGATTGCTGTTTTTTTATTTACAGGCAACTGGGCATCAAATAAGGAGCCCTTGTGATGTGGTGTCTAAGGCATTTGACTGCTGACCAGAAGGTTGGCAGTTCAAACCCACCAGCCACTCCCTGGAAGGACAATGAGGCAGTCTACTTCCATAAAGATTTACTGCCTTGGAAACCCAGTGGGAGTTGCCATGAGTCAGAACTGACTCGATGGTGGTGGGTTTCATTTGGGTTTTGGGCAGCAAATAGAGAGAGCACCTGAGGGGTCCTTGTTTCTGGCTATTTATTTGTGTCCATACCTTGTTGTCTGTAAAATGAGCTTCTTAACATCTTGACCCTCAGCTGCATGAACTTAAGTCAGTGGATAG